TAAGATTTTTAAAGACTCAAAATTTTCACTAAGTTTTTCTTTTTCCTTTTTTTTTTTTTTTTTTTTGAGACAGAGTCTCACTATGTTGCTCTTGGTAGAGTGTAATGGTGTCACAGCTCACAGCAACATCAAACTGTTGGGCTTAAGCGATTCTCTTGCCTCAGCCTCCCAAGTAGCTGGGACTACAGGGGCTTGGAACGTCGCCTTGGTTATTTTGTGGTTGTTGTTGTCATTGTTGTTTTAGCAGGCTCGGGCCGGGTTGGAACCCGCCAGCCCCCTGTGTATGTGGCCGGCACCCTAACCAAGGAGCTACGGGTGCCAAGCCTGTCCACTGTCTTTTTAACTTTCTCTTAACAAACCAATCCCTTCTCTTTTTGTTAGGCTGTGCGACCACAGTGCTGGTGACAGGGGCAGGAATTGGCGAGATGGTCCTGCAGATGCTGGTCGGCTCGGTATGTGGGGATCTCTCAGGGAGGGGGGAGCACTGCTCTGAGCAGGCGGGAAGACCCAGCCAGCTACCTTCTGCACCCCAACCGTCTCTTTCCTGAGTCTTCTGTAGAGCAAGCAGGGCCCCTGGGCTGGTGTTACCTGTTTCCGTTTTCAAACCAGCCATGAAAGCTGAGCCTCCAAATGTGGGATCTGGAGACGTGAACGGATGCGTGGAAAAGTCCAAAGCAAACACAAGCCACATCTGGGAGCCAGGCCAGAGGGGGCCCGTGGGAATGCTGTGTAGCTCTCAGAGCCTGAGATGGGTTAAAGCTACAGAGTTCTTTTTCCATCCCTTCTCTGCCCACTCCCTATCCCACCTCTCCCAGCTGCCCTGCGGGGGGCCAGCTTCCTGCCCTGACCAAGGGCCACGTCTCCTAGTTCTCTTCAAACACACTCATGTTTCATTTGTCCACCAGAGGAAAAATACACTAACACCTACTTTTTATTAAAAACTATAATGTAGACTATTATTCTCCCTTTTACAACAGAGGACGCTGAAACTCACGTGAATTTAGCAACTTGCCTGAGGTCACTCCCACTTTTAGCAACTGGTGGAGATGACATCACACCCAGGTCTTTCTATCTCCAGAATCCCCCTCCGCATTACGATGTCTTCTCTTTTTTTACCCTGCTGGATGGGGAGGAAGAGCTCCATCTTAGGACACCCTCCACCCTGAAATGATGTCATGTCTGGGACTAGCTTCAGTGTAACCTAGTGCAAAGAAGCAGAAAGCTACAGATGAATTGCTGCTAATTGCTAAAGCTGAGTGATGGGTCTGTGGGAGTTCCATGTACTACTCTGACATGTGGTTTACATTTTCATAATAAAAGGTTATAAAAATTATCCCCTGCAAAGTTCTGGTTAGGTTTTATGGATACAGGAACACCTACTAGGACTTAAGTTTCAATGCTGATATAGAGATTTTCAGACGGTTCCAGAACAGAGCCGAGACTGCAGGAGGTTACCAGATCCAACTTCTGCCCTAATGAGAGCGGGACTTTACTCCCTCCAGACACATAACCTTGAAACAAAGCCAAGACATTCCTCCTCCCCAGGTTTCTGTCCCTTGGTGTGATGGGCCTCAACTTGACTAAAAAACCTGCCAAGGAGCCCAGAAAGCTGCTTCCCACAGTACATCTTCCAGTGAAGGTTTAATGGCCCCATCTCTGTGTTTTCCCCTTTGGCAGATATTCCAGGCTCAGGGCAGCTATAGTTTCCTGGTCTGTGGCGTGATCTTTGGCTGCTTGGCTTTTACCTTCTATATCTTGCTCCTGTTTTTCCACAGGATGCACCCTGGACTCCCATCAGGTAAGGAAAGAATCCATTTCTACACAAGAGGAGGAAAACAGAGCAGGGGGAGGATGGGGGAGATTCTATGGATCTTAACATGCCAGAAATGCTGTTCTGTTCCAAGTAAAATGCAAGGAAATGTTTATTTTTCTACAGCTTCCTTTGCCCGTCTTCCTGCTTTCCCTATGATTGTCGGTACTGGGTTTTTAGAGCAGTTGGGAGCCGGGTAGGCTGATTCCTGGTTCCTCTATGAGCAGAGGGGGCATGGACTACGACCTTGGCTTCTAGCATCCCACCAAATTATGGAACCACGGGCCAAGAGTCCCTTCCCACCCCGTTCGGGGCACCGAAAGGCAGAGCCTGACTCCTTGGCTGGAACCGCGCCCAGCAGCTGAACTAGCTGTCTCTTTGCAGTTCAGGATTTTGATTCCAGTCCAAACCTCTTTTTTTAAAAAGAAGTCCTTCGAGCCAAGTGTCAAAGAAGGTTCCTTTAGGGCAGAGACATCTCCTAAGAATAGTCTTCTTCCTTGAGACCCCAGGCAGGGGGAGTCCCAAAACTATTTTCATAGCTCTGAGCCCTCACCCGCCCTACCGCCCAGAGCTTCTAAAAGTGCCCAGTGTATTGACTGGGTGCAGAGCCGGTTCTTACGAGAAGGTGCCTAGTCAGAGCCTTCACCCTCTCCAGAGAAAGCAAAATAATCACAAAAAGACTAAAGGCACAGGCATCCTTCATCTTCTCTCTCATTGGGTGGACTCATCTACCCTCTAAACACTCAGGGTAAAAGCCCAGAAGAGCAGGAGGTCCCCCAAACAGCATTAACTATAGGCTTATTTCAGAGATGGTCATACTGCTTCTTGTACAGCCTGGCACTCAGTGCAGAGTTTCATTTAAGACCCACATTCACACTCT